AATATTATACAAGAAAATTGTCCATAATTATCCTGTCACTCGAAATCCATTGTCAGTAAATATGAATTTTAAGCTATAATTTGCTTCCAATCAATGTAGCCAAGTAGCCAAAATTGAAACTGGAAGTGTTGTTTTATGTAAATATTTAATTTTCAGATATTTCTTCAAAGATAACAGGTGAACAAATATATTCAATTATCTGTTATATGTATAATAGAGCAGATCTCATTCTGCCCTATTTATTGCAATAGCAATGAAATAGATTTTGAAAGCAACATATTGTTAAATCAGCAAAAAATAACAGTGATATATCTGAAAATCTGATATTGAAATAACGGAACAATATTCAGGTCCTGTCTTTCCTGTTGCAGTAATAACAATAATGATTTTGAAAGCAACAATCGTGATGGTTCATAAAACAAAAACAACTCCAAACAGATTCTTACAAAGGTTTGATTATTTTAGTTTTACCTTTTCTTAAAAATCACTAATTTAGTTCTAACATCTATCTTAATTTATGTCGAAATAACTAAACAATCATCCTAGCAATTACAATAGCTGTGCGTCATCACTGACAGCCACAGTTAGCATATAGGCGTAGCGACAAATTACTGAACCATTACCTAAGCCTAAAATGTCATCTACGTGGACTTTTCGAAAAAATCCAAACACGTTTATCACTTCCGGATCTAAAAACAGGAACACATCATAATCTGGTAACTGGCACAGATGAAATGGCGTAGAGCAACTTCAAGTACTGACTGAACGTTGAGGCACGTTAAACTTGTGATCATCAGATCTCCCTGGAATATATATTCGATACACGTGAGCCATGTTGCTCTTGTTTTTTTTAATTTGAAAATAAAGATCTGTACAGTTTAAGATATTTTAGGGTTCAAGTTCAAAATCGATTCACCCAGTTTAGTTTGTATCAAGGTCTGGCTCACTTAGTTCACATATGTTTGTTCAAACAAAGATCTTACCACGATTATGTATTGGTCCCGTGGGCAGATTGGATTAGAATATATGCTGTTTCGTATCTCATGGTTTATAAAATTTGTATTCGAACCTAACATAAACAATAAACCAGTGAATAAGAGTAAAGTCCGTTAACCATTCAGTTTGAAACTCAAAGCTAGGAAACATGGAACCAGGGCATATTCTTAAGATTTCTTGGCGGTAAATTAGTGACAAGCTGAAAATATATATATTCTTTTTCTTAGTGCTATTAACAAAGTAATGCACTTGAGAGAATATAACAAGCTACTTTTTTTTTTTTGCTGAGAAGACTTGTAGGTAAAAGTGTCCTCCTAAGAAACAAGTTTAACTCATATGCATATGGGGGTTCTAACATGGTGTTACGTCTCTGGTCGTTTGTTAATTTTTTTGTAGAAATTCCGAGAAACTTCAGCGATACAAGTCTTTTTTTTTAAATAAAACTAGTTTATTCTTTCTCAGTTCAACTTTGCAATACACTTAATTTCCACAGTCACTTTAACTTCAACACACGCTATAATTCACAACGAACGATTCACGCGCTTTACTTACTACCGCGCTTGACTCAATTGTCCGTCTCTATCTATGCCGTCACTTCATTTGCCTGCTTATATATATATATATAAAGATAGAGGGTGTGTAGAGAAGACTAAAGTTGCCACGAACAGACAGGATCCTTCTAGAATCTCATGACGTGTTATAGCGTCACGTGACTTCCGCTGTCGTAACAATGGAATGGTTAAATAGTTTACACGAAGGAATCAAACCCATAAAAGGCGACAAGGAACAGCGTCATAAAGGAATTTAACGCTTAGCTGTAAAATAACTTTATGGGGCATTATGTTTATCTTACCGTGTCGCATTTTAGAAGAGCTCTTTTTTCTTTTGAATGGATAAAAGAGTTCTTTTCTTTGTGTGGTAAAGGGCGTATAATGTTAGTGATAAAACGATTCATAAGTTTGTAACGAAATGAAGTTTCATTTGATAAAAAGATACTTATTAAGAAGTTAAGTTACAATTAATTTTTTTGCACACGTGTATAATATTATCTGTAAAATAAAAGCATACTTTTAATTATAAATTATTTTGAAAATTCCAAGACATTTGACTTATTATTCAATAAAAAAATGTTGGAGTATTTATAAACGTTAGACCGAATCTTTATATAGTCACACTTACATTGACACAGTTTTTGTTCCTAATTCTAGAGTGTATGCGTAAAAAAAGTTTTTAAAAAGATAATTAAATAATTAAAAGTCAAAAATAAGTTATAAGTTAATATTAATTTTACAAGTAAGGTAAATGTCACTATTCTATTAAAAGCATTAGGCCTTATTCTATCTTAAAATACTTTTCTAGAAGTTTGAGTCTTTATGGAAAAACGTTGAATATATATATATATAGAACTCTGAAAGCCCTCCAGTGGCACAGCGGAATGTCTGCGG